CTCATCTCTACAATAAATCAAAAAATCAGCTGGGTGTGGTAGCGCGTGCCTGTAATTCCGGCTACTCGGAAGGCTGAGGTAGAAGTATCACCAGAGCCCAGCAGGTCGAGGCTGCGGTGACTGGGAGTGGCCACTGCACTCCAGTCTGGGCGACAGAGTGAGACTCCAACTCAAAAAAAAAAAGAGTACAGTGAGATGGAGGAGTAACCAAGGCATCTGCGCCATGACTTTCTCTGCACCTCACGTTCTCTCTCTCTCTCTCTCTCTCTCTCTCTCTCTCTCTCTCTCTCTCTCTCTCTATATATATATATATATATATATATATATTGTTTTTTTGAGTCAGTGTTTCACTCCGTCGTCCAGGCTGGAATACAGTAGCACGATCACAATCCACTGCAGCCTTGACATCCTGGACTCAGGTGATCCTTCTGCCTCAGGCTCCCGAGTAGCTAGGACTACAGGCACACACCACCATGCCTGGTTAGTTTTGATTTTTTGTAGTGATGAGGTCACACTATGTTGTCCAGGCTGGGCTCAAGTGATTCTCTTGCCTTAGCCTCCCAAGGTGCTGGGATGGCAGGTGTGAGCCACCACACACCCAGCCAATCTTCTTCTCTATACAATGTGGTTAACTGTCTTGCCTTTCAGGGTTGTTGGGAGGCTCACAGACTGCTTGGCCCCATAAAAAGCAGTTGACCCCTGTTGCCTAGGGTCCGTTACCAGCCTCCAGCTCTTCCTCTCAATTATTTGTAACCTGGAAACAGACTCAGATCTTCTCAGTCCCACAGCACCCAGTGCTGGCCTGGTCTTGACCCAAGTCCCACTTCCCTTTTCCCGCTTCCACTTCTGGCCAGAGGTGAGTCAGAGTCTCACTCTGTTGCCCAGGCTAGAGTGCAGTGCACACTCATAGCCACCGCAGCCTTGACCTCCTGAGCTCAGGAGATCCTTCTGCCTCAGCCTTCCAAGTAGCTGGAAGCACAGACATGCACCACCATGCCTGGCTAATTTTTTGATTTGTTATAGAGACAAGGTCTTGCCATGTTGCTCAGGCTGGTCTCAAACCCCTGAGCTCAGGCAATCCTCTTGCCTTGGCCTCCCAAAGTGCTAGGATTATAGGTATGAGCCAGTGTGCCAGGCCTTGCCACACTCTTATCTGACTCAAGCTCTTGGCAGAATCTGGTGCCAATGCCCCAAATGCCAACTCTCGACTGTGTGTCCAAGACACTGTGTGCACCTGTCTCCCTTACCTGTCAGACCCCACGAGCATCTACTGAGCACCTCCTCCCACAGTGGATACAGCAATGAAAAAGGTAGAGCTCCTGTCTTCATGGAGCTGATGAACTCTCTATTGGTCCCTGGCATTCAGCTATTAATTCCCAGCTTCCTAAAATGTGCATCCCCAGCCGGGTGTGGTGGTTCACATCTGTAATCCCAGCACTTTGGGAGACAGAGGTGAGAGGATTGCCTGAGCCCAGGGGTTTGAGACCAACGTGGGCAACTTGATGACACCTCATCACTACAACAAATCAAAAAAATCAGCCAGGCATGGTGGCGTGCACCTGTAGTCCCAACTACTTGGAAGGCCTGAGCCCAGCAGGCCAAGGCTGCAGTGATTATGAGTGTGCAGGTGTGACTCCACCCTTGCCCTGGTCTTCTGCCTCTCACCCAGGGCAAATGCACCCACTCAGTTTTCCAGCCACTCTGTGCCCTCGGCTCTGGGCTGTCTCTAGCCACCCCTTGTCTCCTGGCTCTAGACCCCGGTCTGGCCACTTCCTGGCACTTCCTCTGGCTTTACTGCAGTGCCCAAACCTCTTCTGTCTGACATTCAATCAACCAATTGCTTGTTCTTGCTACGATGTCTCAACATGACACTCCCCTCTTAAATGTGGCCATCTCACACCTGGCTTAAATGTCCTACCTGGTCCCCCTGTCCATTCTTAGCCCCACCAACCTTCTCTCCAGTCGGAAGCCATGTTATATTCTTATTTATTTTTTTGAGACAAGATCTTGCTCTGTTGTCCAGGCTGGCACGATCATAGCTCACAGCAACCTCGAACTCCTGAGCTCAAGCGACCCTCCTGCCTTAGCCTCCCAAGTAGGTAGGACTACAGGTGTGGTGCACACCACTATACCCAGCTAATTTTCTTAAAATATTTTGTAGAAGCCGGGCTCGGTAGCTCAGCCTGTAATCCTGCACCTTGGGAGGCTGAGGTGAGTGGATTGCCTGAGCCCACGGGTTTGAGACCCGCCTGGGCAGCGAGACCTCATCTCTACAATAAATCAAAATATTAGCCGGGTGTGGTAGTGCATGCCTGTAATTCTGGCTACTCAGAAGGCTGAGGTGGAAGGATTGCCGGAGCCCAGCAGGCGAGGCTGTAGTGGCCGGGAGCGGCCACTGCACTCCAGTCTGGGCGACAGAGTGAGACTCCAACTCAAAAAAAAAAAAAATTTTTGTAGACTCAGGGTCTCACTATGCTACCCAGACTGGCCTTGAACTCCCAGCCTCAAGCCATCCTCCTATTATAGCTCCCAAAGCACTGGGATCACAGGATTGAGCCACAGTGCCTGGCCCAGAATGATCTTTTAAAATGCAAATGAGATCACATCATCTCTGCCTAAAATCAGTCCCCACTGTGCTCAGAATAAAATCCAAAGGTGGCTGGGCGTGGTGGCTCAGGCCTGTAATCCCAGCACTTTGGGAGCCAGAGGCAGGAGGACTGCTTGGGCAACATAGCAAGATCCCGTCTCTACACAAAAAAATCAAAAAATTAGCTGGGCATGGTGGTGCAATCTCCTGAGCCCAGGAGGTTAAAGTTGTGGTGAGCCGTGATTGTGCCACTGCACTCCAGCCTGGGTGACAAGAGTGAGACCCTGACTCAAAAAACAAATCAACAACAACAACAAAAAAAACCTCACACCAAACACAACTG